TACTGTGTTGTGACATATTAGAATGGAACAGAACAAGAGTTGGAAGGGACCTTGGAGGTCTTCTAGTCCAAACCCCTGCTTAGGCAGGAAACCCTACACCACTTCAGACAAATGGTTGTCCATTCTCTTATTAAAAACTTCTAGTGTTGGAGCATTCACAACTTCTGCAAACAAAATTGTTCCACTAGTAATTGTTCTAATTGTCAGGAAATTTCTCCTTAGTAGGGAAATTCTCCTTAGTTGATTTATTTAATCAAAGTTGATTCATTTAATCAATCAAAGTTGATTTATTTAATCAATCAAGGTTGATTTATTTAATCAATCAAGGTTGATTTATTTAATCAATCAATCAAGGTTGATTTATTTCATAAATCAAATTTAGGTTTCAATCTCCCGATCATCCACACTGAATTTCTTTGCATTTCAGTTCATCTGAATTGTTTGTGGAAAAATAAATAAATAATTGGGCATGCTATTAAAGTATCGTATTAGACTACCGTATGTCTAATATTTAACATACGGTAGTTACTATTTTGGTCTGGTTCTTGCTGGTTTTCATTAATGATGTGTATTACAGTAGGAAAGAATCCAGTTGCTTATCTAGAAATCCTTAAATTGTGATTGCATTTAAACATATGGGATTATATCATAGGATTCATTGCAGACAATAGATTTATTGGTAAATTTGGAGTGAAACCTAGATGTAAATATGTGTAGGAGTTAGTAGGTTTATATTGTTTACATATACACTAATGGTCCAAAAGTATGTCCGTTGTTTCGAATGGTCTAAATTCAGGTTGTTGAGTAAACATCTTGATGGATTCCTTGTGCTCTTCATCAAATTCTCAGCTTATGTGGAGTCCAATCTATTAGGAACTGTATATATAAGGGCTTGTGGAACAATATATAAAGATGCCTTTCTATGAATTGATATTATACCCGTCATATATGGGGAGAGGGCTACTACTCAGTGTACAGGTGATGAATTTTGACTGCAATGATTAGAGTTTGGTACCTAAACTATAGTTATATATTGTATAATATAATATAATAACAGAGTTGGAAGGGACCTTGGAGGTCTTTTAGTCCAAGCCCCTGCTTAAGCAGGAAACCCTTCACCACTTCAGACAAATGGTTATCCAACATCTTCTTAAAAACTTCCAGTGTTGGATCATTCACACTATTTATTTATATTTATAATTTTAAATACTTTCAGTAGTGAATGTAATTAGTCTTCACTATAAAAAAGCACAGAAATGTATTGCCAGTTTATAAAGATAGTACCATATGGGCTATTGGGATAGCATTCTTTTACATTAATCTTACATCTCGGACAATTGTGAGTTTTACTGACAAAAAAAAACTTGTGTTAGGTTTTTCTTTTAATCTTTTATACTTGATTTTTTAAAATCTAAAGTTTCCTTTTTTCCTGTGTATGTTTTTTTCAGGCTTTACTGGAAACTCAAGTACTACTACGCACTCAGGTTGCAAATTTTACCTTCAACCTTGGATTTTCAGGAAAGTTTTACCATACAGGTAAGCAGAAACCACATATGAGCAATTAAAAGCCTATGAAAATATTAGAGACATTTTTCATGATATTGCAAATACCTTAATATTAAAACTACATTTTTAAAAAAAAGTTAAAATACAAGAATTTCCTGTTCTAAACAAACTATGTTTTAAAAATCAATTACTACAAAACTGTTCATAAATATTAACTCTGGTTTATAATTAACCAATTCTACTACTTTGAACTCCTAAATATTTGTTTTGAAATAATATTTCTTTAGACAAGTAGAAGAAAAATATTTAAAAAATTGCAAAACTATCTCTACTTAGTTTTAAATTTAAAAATTTAACAACTTTGGTAAATGTCAAATTCTACACAGTTATCACATGAAAATTCACTACGAATCTATATCTTATTAAATTGATATATGTTTATCAATGTCTTTGAAATATATAATTCTTTTTTTAATATGCATATTTAAATTTTGAGCATTTCAACTCTCCAACACACTGTATGGAAATTGTAGGTTTATTTCAAAAGCGTGCTAAAATTATATAGAAAAATAGTCTGGCCATTTTCTTAAACAGATAATGATAGAAGGATTATAAAGAGCAAATAGAACCATCAGGTATTTATATTAAGATAATGCAAAGCATAACAGGTGCCATAAATGGCTTTTTTTCATTCCATAATATAGAATAAAACATAAAATATAGACATCTGAGAGTTCTTTTAAACAAGAGTCTTATTTGCAAAATAAACACCCTGCTTTGATTTCACATGGATACAAATTAGTCTTATCAAAATACTGTCACGTAAGCAAGGAGGCATCCTGGAAGGATTTGTATGGTCTGAAGGAGAAAAGATATGATTTAAAAGGAATTTAAATTAAATGAAAAGAGGATTACTTCACATTTTGACTCCTAAGTAATTAATTGATTTTGCCCCCACGTGCTGATTCTACAGATTAGCATTACCTGCTTCCAGGCACATTTTGTGTATTTCTTCATTCTGCCTCCAGTTTCTTTTTAATGCCTGTTTAAACTTTATTCATTTGCTGTCCGTTTCTCAACTATATTTCTTCATTAAGAGGCAGCTTTAAAAGTAAGCAAAGATTAAAGGCTTCACAGCGGTCAGTGCAGTTTCCATAAATCCAGTCGGCTCTCCACCACCTCAACTTCATTATTGACCTGTTCAAATATTAATAGAAAATATTAGTTAGGATTTGGCATTGCTGTATAAATACTTTGCATTTTCAGCATGGTTTAAGTTGAAGAAAAAGAAATTAGAATGCATTACAGTAGGCTAGGCGTGTCAAACTCATGGCCCACAGGCCAGATGAGTCATGTGTTGGCCCCGCCCCCCGTCCGTTTTAGCAAAGGGAGAAAAAGTCCTGTGACGACGCCATGGCGATGTGAGTTTGACGCTCTTGCAGGAGATAATAGAAGGAGTTCAGTGCTCAGCCTTATTGAACAATGCATGTTTGAAATGATCACCAACTGGTGTTGCTATTATTTAGATAGAAATTGAATAGTGTTAGAGTATTCTTAAAGTTTGCCATGTAGCCAAAACCCAATTAGTTATGTGGTGATAATATGGAGCCACAACTGCTTTCACATCATGAGCTACCAAGAAAAGGCGGTATAGTAGCATTTATGACATTGCATTACTTCATGGAGTATTATAGCCTTTGGGAATTTATGGTAGCATGCTAAATTTTATTTGCACTCAACCTGTGGGAGCTGCGTAATGCAGAAACATTTGAACATATAGGGTAACTCTACTTTCCTCTATGATTAATTTATAGATTGTTATCGGAACGGTCTTTACCTTGAATTACAGAAACAAGCATATGTGTATTGCCTGTTTCAAAGCCAACTAAATTTTATTTTTAGGAGAGCATATGTGAAACAATAAACTTATATTAAAACACAGACAGAGAAACATACACAAAAACCCACACCCACATCTCTCAGTGGCAAATAACAAAATTAAGATGCAAGCAGCAATAGCACCTTATTGCTCCTTTTGTCATAATTTGGGCTCACTAAGAAATATGCATAGCTTCTTCAGGATATGAAGAAGGCTGGTTACTAATCTTTAAAAAGAACCCTGGTAGCATATGAATTAATCAACAGAAAATGCCTTTGAGCATTGCCTTGAGTTCCCCTCTGTGTGATTAACCTCTGTGTGGTTGGCAGTATATAATATAACTTCCTAGTTATATGGTGCTTTTTCAAGAATAAGAGAGGGCTGAATTAGGTCTTCGTTTTTAAATTATTTTTCAGTAGCTTTAGTTCTGTACTTCATTAATATCTTTAAGATGAAAGTATAATAGATGTTCTCCACATTATTTCTTTGCTATAAACGTTGTCAGATTAAGGTAATGAAAGAAGGAAAGAGTTCAAAGGAAATATATTAGCTGCTGAAATGAACTTCAACTTTTAAAAATCCTTTCTACCAGCAACCAGCTAAAATGTCTGAAATCTCTTTCCTTTATCTTATATTATCACAGGAAAGTATTTAAATGAAAGACCGGTTTTCAATGTATTTCACTCTATTCATTGATTTCTCAGACACCTCAAAATATATTTTTTCCACTGTCAGAAGCACAAGGTTTATTAGTACAGGAAAATTCCAAAATCTCAACACTATTTCAATGAAATCAAATGAAGCACAAATCAAGTCCCATATTTATCAGACTATAAGATGCTCTGGACTATTAGACACACCTAGCTTTTGGGAAGGAAAACAAGAAAAAAAAATCTGCCTCTGCCTCCCAGGCAAATTGCTGGGAAGCAGAAGCCAAAGGGCAGGTGCGAATTCGGCAACATTCGCTGTATAAGACACCTAGACATTTACACCCCCTTTGTGGGAGAGGAGTGCATCTTATACACGGAAAAATACAGTACTTACAAATATCATGAAGCAAATATTGTAGTTTATTTCAATGTACATTTTGAACTTTATCATTCTATATCATTTACATCAATATTTTCATATTTTAGGGAGTGTACTCAAACCTGTGTACACACCATTTTGTTATCTGCTTCCCTTACTTCTCCAGAACTCTCTGGAATGAAATAGACTCCATCCATTCTGAACAAAGTTCTGGGGAAGGCAAAATAAAATTCACTATGAATTTAAAAACAAGCAGAACAATTGTTTGTACCAATGGTGGGTTCCAGATCCCGTGGCAAATGGTACGGTTGCAACAAGGCCCAGCGTCCTCCACATAAATGCACGCAGCACGTGTATGCATATTACCATCCAGCGCCGCCTCCACGAACCTCCACGATGCTCCAGCTGCTCGGCAGAGCGTCGCATAGGTGCAGTATCCACCATGCCCGGAAGCACCAAAGAGTTTAAAGATGGATAAGGAGCCCGGGCAAGCAGGTGGGCCCTCTGGAGCACCATACCGGAACAGTACCTGGTGCTCCAGGCAGGCTCCGGTACACCCGTACTGGGGCATACCGCCTGCAACCCACCACTGGTTTGTACATAACAAAGTTCTTATTTGTCCAAGTTAGAGTGCCAATTTTTTTCCTACTCTCCCTTGTCCACACTATTTCCTCACACCTCAAAATAAATTTATCAGGGGCTGAAGAATATATCACACATAATGTTGCATGGAAGGGAGATATACTGTATTTTTCACACTATAAGATGCACCAGACCATAAGATGTACCTTAGCTTTAGAGGAGGAAAACAAGAAAAAAAAATCTGCCTCTACTTCTCAACATCCATCTGGTATTAATCTGGCTAGCGTCCTTGCAACAAACAGCAAACAGCCTGGTCAGCTTCAGCACGTTATTCCAGACCCAGCACGTTGCTTGACAGGGCTCTGCTCCATTATGCCCACCACCAGTCAACTGAGCTGAGTAGCTGCCACTGCCACTGGGGAACATTGGAGTCTTTCCTGCGGAGCAGCTGATTGACGATTGGATCGGCCTCCCAGAATTCTGCTGTTTAGCTGCCATGCGGCGATTGGTGGTGGCTCTCCCTGTCACCTAAAACAGCTGAGTGGTGGTATTCCAGGAGGCCGATCTAACCACCAATCATCTGCTCAGCAGTGAAAGCTCCAGCGTTCCCCGATAGCAGGGAATGGCAGCAGCAGTGACAGGCGGCGGCGGTGACAGCCAACCCCTCTCCCGTTGCCCCAATATTCGCTCTATAAGGGGGGGAGGGATGCGTCTAATAGTGCAAAGGCTAAAAACAAGTACAAAAGAGATATGATTTAATGGTTTTAATGTATGGAAGTTATATCTAAGCTATGTTTATAAAGACCTAATTCTAGATATTTTTTCCCAAGATATGCAATATGAAAAATAATAAATGGGATAATAAATCTAAGTAGATACAAGTTCAGCGAAAGTAGTTTCTATCAAGTGAAAAGAAATTTATAGTGACAGATTCAAATAACTGTCTACCTTTCATTTGAAGTTTTTCTGAAGATAAATAAAATTAATTAATCTCCTGTGAGGGATGCTACTCATCTCAGCACATAACTTCATTATTATTTAAACTGTAGCTGTTCTTTACTAATGGTCTAAGCCTAAGGTGACCAGATTTTAACATTGATAAAGTGGGACACCATTGACTTGGGGGTGGTGGTTCTTGATTAAAAATTTGGTCTATGTGGTCCACGGAGCAATAAAAATTTTCATAGAACGCAAAAATAGTATTGTAATTTTTTTTAATTTCAACATAAATTCAATTTATAAATATAATACATTAAAAATAGCATTTAGTATTATTATTTTATTATTATTTTATTAGTATTTACCCAGGGGTGTTCAAATTTGGCAGCTTTAAGACTTGTGGACTTCAACTCCCAGAATTCCTCCTCTTGCTCTTCATCTTGATGATGTGCGGATGGGCGGGGGGGAGGGAGCTGGAATGGGTTCTAAGCGGCACTGTAGATTTGTAGAACCTCTTCTATAGAAGCGG